AACATGCTTTTAATTTGATAAGAGAAATTGCATACAAGATTTGATGAAATGCTAAGCTTACTCCAAACGTTTCTCGAGTTGAATTTAACTAACTTATTTAAACTAGATTAAGGGAATTAACTACTAAAAACTGCCACTAATGGGATTCGAACATGGTTCTATAGACTGCCTAACGAAATCCAATTTGATAGAATTAGTTTAAATGACTTAGAACTAAATTGCGTCTCTTGCCAAATTAGAAGCAGCATGCCTTACGTGTTTAGAATAAGAATAGAGATGAGATTCACCTATCAATTTACTAAACACATGTGCACTCTACGTCATGCGGTCAACTAAAACAACTAAATAAACAGCGTAAACAAACTAAGGTTCCAATTAAGTACAAGCTACCTCATGAGTTTGCTATTGAACTACAAACTAAAATTACACAAATCTAACAACGTTTCTAAAGCTGTAATTACAGCAGCAAATGATTGAACTCCTTTGCATCTTTCAATTCATACTCATTGTTACTGATACATTAGTGTGAGATTCAAAGTGTGTACCTGGATGTTGAATACAACAGAAGAAAAGAATACAGAGAAGTCAGCAGCAACAACAACAAGAATGGAAGCAACAACAACAAATACAGCAGCAGTGACAGTAACAAAGTGCACCAGGAACAACTCAAACGAAACCCGAAAAGATTTGTGAAAACCAGGTAGCAACAAACAGCATGCAAAACTCAAAATGGACTTGAACTCAAACCAAGGTTGGACCAGTAGATTGCATAGGAAGTTTCAACGAATTGGAGTCAAACCAAAAAAAAAGAAACAGTATCAACTATTGAGACTTCAAACTAAACCAAAGCCTGATGGAATTATGTTGCCCACCAAAAACTGAATTTGTTCTCTTTTTAGGACTGTTTTTATATCTGAAAAAAACCCTCCTAACTAATCGAGACCCTTCTCTTTTTATAGCCTCCCCCAGCCCATTCGAATAGCCTGTTTAAACGAAATCAAATCCCTCCCATCTCCTGCTGTTTTTCCACTCCCAGATAAAATAAAAGCCCCCTCCCATGATATTCCCCTGACAGTCCTATCTTTAAATATGGTTTATTATTTCTAAACTAAATCAGGGTATGGGCAGCCTGAATATGCCCTGACAGCACATGCTGTCCAAATACACCCTAACTCATTCATAACTGACAATGCACATGCTGTCCACGTAGGGACAGATTCTATGTCAATTTGAACTTTGAAACCTATGTTAAAACTGCAGCTATAAGCAATCCTTAAACAATTTCTGATTCAAATGCACAAACTAGACATAGTGCATTTAATTCTCAGACCTTAATCGACAAATCAAACATATGAGTCAAATAAATACCATTCCAAATTGAAACTTATTGACGACATATATCGAATCGACTACGCGAATCACAACACATACAATCGAAACCAATGACCAGAATCCAACAGTATTAACATGTGATTCAAATTGTACTGACCAAACAAAAGTTGCCCTGGAAACTAATTAATCGACCAAATTCAATTTCAGTCGATTGTATAGTTTACACACATACACACCATCAGTAAATGAAGAATGACTTGACCAAATACAGAGGTCCGGGCAAGGTGGACAGAACAATCGACACAAAAATTCAAAATAAATCAACTAAACATTTGGACATATGACCATACATTTAACTATAACAACAACAAAATGAACTGACAAAGAAAAGGAAAACAAAAATACCTTAAAGGCTTGAAAAATCAGAAAGCCCTAGCTCGAATTTGAATCGACCTTTCTTGGGGTTGAACGGACTTTAATCGAAGTGTTCTCAACTGAGAACACTTC